CCTTGTATGCACCGCTTTCCCCACTTCTTTGTCCGCAGAAAATCAAAAACCTCGTAAAACATCTTTGAGCGGCCCAAAGTGATGATAGTCGGAAAGGGCGAGATCTGGGCTGTAGGCAGGGTGTTCCAGCACCTCCAAACACAAATGGTTAATGGTTTCAATGGTCTGGCCGTCCTTGTGTGAGTGTTCATTGTCATGCAACTACAACACTTTCTTCGACAATAGGCCTTGGCGTTTGGTGCGAATTGCTGGCTTCAGATTGTTGGCCAGCAAATCACTGTATCTTGCACTGTTGATCGTACACTCTTTTTCCAGGTAGTCTTGCAGTATAGGCCTTTTTGAGTAAAAAAAAACCGTTAGCATCACCTTTCCCACGAAAGATTCAGTCTTGAATTTTATCTTCGCTTGCAATCCCGGGTGTTTCCACGCCATACTCTGGCTTTTGGATTCTGGCTCATAGTGATGAACCCACATATGAATTTCAGCCCCTGACACACCTTCCAATCAGAGAAATCGGATCACTATTCTTTGTTAATCATTGGTGCACACTGCTAGCAGAGCGGCCATGTTTACACTGTCACAGCATCAAGGAATATGATGCTATAAAGGTTAAACTTCGATCACGTGACCATAGTAGTATCAACTCTAACAATGCATGTGTAGGAGGCGGTGTGACAAACCTAAAGATGTGTTATGGAGAAAGTGCGGATAATTTCTGACTTATCCTCATACTTAGTTTTCTCTGTTTACTTCTGGACCAACCTCTCTTACACTTGTGTCAATTAAAGTTTGTGTGTTTTTCTTTATGGCATCTACATTATCACCCAGTAGATTCATGTCATCAGTGTAAATCTAAATTTTTTGATACACCAATAAAAATATTGTCAGTAGCTGTTGCTACACCATTTTGCACTCTAGATGGGAAATGAACAGTACTGGTTAAGTTGAAAGTGGCAAGTAAGGTATCTAATTGCTGTTTTTTTTTTTTTGCAGCTGTTATCAAGATAATTTACATTTAAATCCCCACAAATAAGAAATGTATACTAGCACCATATAGTTTATTTAAAATAGCCTCTACAGTCATTACAAAAAATAAAAAATTCCCATTGGGAGACCTGTAAATTGATATTATACAAACAGTTGTGGTTGGTAAATGGATTTTAATTGCACATACCTCTATATCCTGTTCTTTGCTAAATTCTTGTAGGTTAATATTAAAAAAGCTTAATGATTCATGAACAAAAATACTTGCTCCACCATTTTTTAGGTTTTCTCTACAAAACTTAGCCCCTAAATTATAGTGTACTAATGGTGTTCTTTCCAATTCGAGTTCCTTTGGATGATGTTCTGTTATACATAGTATTTGGGGGAGTTCTGTAAGTAACAAGTTTATTAATTCAATTGTTTTATTCCTTAGTCCCCTAATATAATAAAATCGTTTATAATAAAGACAAAGTTGCCTCCTTGCTTGCTTAATTAAGTGCTAATGCCATGAAGACATATGGGGGAGTGAAGGTATAGCTCCATCATTGTCGACCTCAGCACTAAATAGAGTGGTCAGCTTCATGCACCAGCCACTTTACCTCCCTGGGAAATAGCTTGGTACCCATCGGATATGATGCAATGGTGGGCCCCAGAGCCAGTCAGGACACTTTGGAGCAAGAAAAATCTGTCACCCTTGCAGGGAATCAAACCCTGGCTGTCCAACCCATAGTCCGTCAGTATACCAACTGAGCTATCGCGGCTCCTAATCTTTTGTAACAGCAGTGAATGTTGCTGCATACCGCACACTAATATTTTTATTGCTTTCCTCGGGATATTCTGCTGCCAACTTTCGGCGCCATTCGTTACCAAAGATGATGAACGCATTCGGTGGTCGCCGAATTCTTTTATCACTGTCTGAAGTTGGTGTCATCAATGGTTTGCTCCTTTGGTCCAGCTGAAAAATAGAAACAATAAAACAGTCCATCAGTGACAGTGGTCCCCAAACTCTTTTAATCTGAGGCTCTCTTTTCATGAACATTATTAACCATCATCTTTATGGTGATGAGTGAGATTATGGTTGCAGACAGTATTAATTCTGCCTCTAGGTGGATCTAACAATAACAGTCTATCGCCAGCTTCATTTTAATTATAAATACATAAAAACTTTCTTGTAGCCTATATTGAGGGGGTTTGGGTAGCTTGAATGTTCAAGTGTTGCATTCAGAAGGTGCCCAAGACACCCGCCATTCTGAATGAGGCTTTCATCGTTTTCTGTAATACCTTCAAGCAAGTGCTGGAATACCTCAATCAGCACATCACAGCTTCAATCAAAATCCTTTAAAATTTATCAATCGCATACTTTGACTGTAGCAGATTAGTCACAGTGTATGTGAACTTGATACTGTTGTCAGAGTGTGTTGTAATGTCTGTTAGCCTCACCGTCAGAAGTTTCTACCAATGGGCACGCCATTGTTAGAAGCATGTATGCAGGCATTCTCATATTACTTTCTTAACTACAGTCATCTTAGGATAATTCATCCTTTCTGCTGGCTACAACCTACACCCCTCCAAGATGCCTTTTAATATTAAGAAGAGGCAATAACTGGGAGATGCCATATGGAGAAGAGGGGGATCACAGAAGGACAGCAACAAACTTACTCTATAACATGAACAAGTGGCTAGGTCCATCTAGTCCAACAAATTTAATATGATAACACAAAAGACTGCCTTTACATTTTGCAGCCACTACTGATGGACGTTTCTGCTCCTTCATGTATCAAGAAGTGTAATGGCTCGAGATGTCTCTTGTAATGGATATGAGGTTCTCACAAGGGTGGGTATCAACAACTGTTGGAAGTCAATCAATGTCTCAGAGAACAGGTTGCCTCCCCTGCTTCACGCTAGGTTGTTGCTCGGCTTATGCTTAGACCCTAAACATGGAGCGACATGTTCCTCTGAAACTTTAGCCCACTTTCAACATACTACATAGTGTTATATCTCAGAAGACAGAACTCTCCTCTCTTATGGTTATCATGTCACTGATTCATCATCTTCTGGATTGTGACACCATTTAGTCTGTACCAGGGTACCGACATTTTGGGGCATCATGCTGCAACTGAGGGTGTTTAAGAAGAGGGTGTTGAGATGAACATGTGTACTGAAGAGGGATGAAGTGACAGGAGGTTGGAGAGAGCTTCATAATGAGGAGCTCCACAACTTGTACTGTTTGCTAAGTATAATTAGAATGATGAAGTCAATGAGGATGAGATGGGCAGGGCGTGTAACACGAATGGGGCATAAGAGGAATGCATATACAATTTTGGTGGGAAAGCCAGAAGGAAATAAACCACTAAGAATACCTAGGCATAGGTGGGAGGATGGTAGTAAAATGAATCATAGAGAAACAGGATGGTGTTATACGGGCTGGATTGATCTGGCTCAGGATTCTGGAGCAGCTGATGACATCTCAAAGATTCAGCTCCATGGAGTGGTCATTTAGTTAGTTCGTCAGTCAGTTAGCTGGATTATGAAGTGCGTTTTGAACTAAATTGTCCATCCCTGATGTAGTTAAAAGCAAAAGTAGATGTGCCACAACCTTTATGGGGGAGCAATAGGTCCACTCCGCCATACATCTTTGTAACATAGGTAAGGTAAATTTGTCCCTGTGCTTAACTAGTTGCACTACAACATGAAGATATATGGTGGAGTGGATGTATAGACCCAAGTTTTCATGACCTTGACACTAGTTGGAGGTGAGTGGTCAGCTTCAGGCCCCGACCACTTTACCCCCGGGAAAAGAGCCCCCATTACACATTGAATAGGAGGTTGGGTGGAACCCAGAGACAGTCTGGACAAGATGGAGAAATGAAAATTATTGATCCTACCGGGACTCGAACTCCGACATCTTGGTCCTCCAGTCTGTACCCAAATTCAGTTTATGAATTAATCTAAATAAATATTCAGCCCTGGTTACTGCACCTTCAAAAATCTTTGCTGACATATTATGCAAGACCTCTAAATAGTCATGTCCTTTGCTGCGTTCTCTAGCTGAAACCCAGTGGTGGGAAGTCCCTCTGTCCCTATAATATTACATTCCTTCCTTTTCAAAATCCCTGTCATTAACACCACTCATATTGCTTTAGCATCGTCATCGCTCACCAGTTTCAAACTTGGCATAACAATTCACTTATTTCTCACTTCCACTGTCTGAAACTACAGTGCCACTAACAGACGTCTAACTCATGAAAATATGCGACTGGGGATGAAGACAAATATTTTTTTTTTCCTACAAACAAGCAGAAAGCACTCACCATGTTTCTCTTAGAGTAGGAAATATTCCTCTAATTCTCTGTAGTACAATTCCTGGGTGCTATCAATGTACAGTCCTCATGGCAAACCATTAACTCTCATTGTTTACTTGCATGTCCATCCTCGTCATATAACCTCTTGGTCGGACATGAAGGAAAACATCTCTTCGTGTACTGTTGGAAGTTTGTCGGTTGCTGCGGAAACGCGTCTACAGCACCGTTGCCCAGATCGCCAGCATAGACAACACTGCATCTGTGTGTTGCCACAGAAAGGCGTTTATCGTGCATTTATATAGCGATGACCGCTTCTTCTCGCTCTTTTCATTCCACTATTCCGACTTTCGCAGTCATATCACAATTTATCTTATAGTAACACAAATTAATGTGAGGATATTGGGTTCTGGCAGCAGACAGCGACAGATACTATGAAGTTTGTTATTACATAGTACTCCATACTGCATTCTTATAGTAATGTCCCACTATACTAATCGTTTCCTCACAACACTCACAACCTGTGTGCGCATCTTTGCGAATGAACAGTTCTTTCGAATTCAAACGCCATCAACGAAGTATTCATTGGTTTGGACCCTTTGGACCGCTTTGGACGAACCATTGCCAACATCATGGTATCGTTCGTATCTTTATCATAATTATAACTTACGAAATAATATTTCGCTGCCTTACAGCAAAGAAACTCGTCTGTAATAAGCTAAGAAGGAAGCAAGAGCAGTGTATATCTTATTTATGTTAATTTTTCATAAATTTACCGTGGTACGTTTCTTTTTCGTTGTGGCAAGGGAAAAGATGACTGTTACGCCGCGATTTCTAAAGCCGGATATCACCCTACGGAGCATGAAAATCGTTTGAGGCATCACGTAAATTTATGTGTTGTATGATCACTTAAGGGGGTATTTTACCATATTTGTAGTGTTAGGAATTGAATTTAAAACTTTATTATATGTCCTGCACTATATGTAGCACAAACACCAAAATTAAATTAAAAAAAGGATGTATGCTAGTGGCGAGGTTATGGTTGACGAACAGAACATGCCATTGAGAAGTATAAAAAATTAACAATATGCGAAGGCGACCGGAGACATTCATTCTTTGTTCCAAGAAGGGGATTTAGAAGTAAAAAATAACCAGGTAGTTCTGGCCATCCGGAAGAAATTTAAGGCTTGCAGTCTCCAGTTAAAAAACTTCGACGTTAACAGACGTGATTAAAATAAATAAACTTAAAACACTCATTTTTATTCTTAAATGATACATGCTGACAATAGACTGAATACTGCAGACTATGGCTGACAAATGACAGACCACCTCTCATCAGAGAGGGTGCCCAGACAGGACAGTAACTTTCATACAAGAAACATCTGGTCATGAGCCCCAGCTCGATACCAAGACAAACAGACTGACTGACCCTCAGTCGCAATGTCACTTTGATCACTTTGACTTTGGGAGTTGTCTGTTAAGTAGTGTGGAAGGTTCCCACACACCATTTATGGCTGAGGTATTCTCTAACTTTTAATAGACCTTCCACATAGACAATATCCAGGGCTATCAGGAGTCTAAATGATGCCCCAGGCAACAAGAAATTCAAAAGCCCCCCTCACCGCAGTTGAAAACAGTAAACATTCCAAAACTTTTAACCAACTAACTCCATGGAGCTGCCAGTTGTGCAGCTACTCAAGAATTTCCCAACATTTTATGGAACCTGAAGGTTCATCATAATTTTTAAAAGAGCTCTCCATTGGTCCATATCAATGCAGTCAACCCAATCATCTCTCTCAGATCCACTTTAATATTATCCACCCATCTACATCTTAGTCTTCCTAGTGGTATCATTCTTTCTAGCTTTGCCACCAATATCCTATATGCATTCCTCTTCTCTCCCATGCATGCTACATGACCTGCCCTTCTCATCATCCTTCACTTGGTCATTGTAATTGTACTTGGCAAAGAGTACAAGTTATGATGCTCCTCATCATGCAACCTTTTCTAACCACCTGTCACTTCACTTTGGTCCAAATATTCCCCTCAGCACTATTTTCTTAAAACACTCACTCATAATTAAAAATACAAAATTTTGAGGCACTGTGACAGTTATTATCGCTGTCATATGTTTAAGATGTTAGCAAATTAAGTCACAATAGGATCAAAATTAATGTTCATTTAACAAACATAGTTTGTAAAATGTTCCACCTCAAGTGGCTGCTGGCTTTACCTGGGCTATTGTGCCAGCCCTGATAATATATCTTAAAAGTAGTCAATGCCCTTCTCCATTTATCACTGATAGTTACCCTGACATATTATGCTGAATGCCACTGCTGAAATATCACTGAAACTAGGAAATTAACCCAGGGCCTATGCTAATAATTCCAGCCTTTCAGGTATATTTTACTTTATGTTTGCATATATGCAATATAAATATAAAGCAAGAGAACTGTAGAAGTCTTAGAGAAGTTAGTTTCTTAAACATTTGCTATATTTTTTTTATTTGTTTCATTCTGGTCCATCACACTAACAATTATAAACACAAACAACTCTGTCAAGTGTGACATGTAAGTTTTTACTATGTTAAAACTTATCTCCATTACATGTTTCGATCCTTACGGGCCATCTTCAGAGGGAACATCATTACAAACTGGAAACTACCATCACAATAGGTGTTTTGATTTAAAATTCATACACTTATATCCTATAATGCACAGTACAACACAGCAAGACATGAACAAACCCTGGATGACACCAAGAACCTCCTCATCAAGACAGACAGGAGGCACAAAATCTGCCCCATACAAGAAGGACGTAGGAGTACGGACA